TAAAACATTACTGAATTGGAAATACAAGTAACAAAAATAACTAATAAATAAATAAAATATATTATACTCGTAACATTTTTATAAGTATTGCTGCAATATTGCTAAAGTAATATTGCCAATTAATGTCACTGCAAAGTCTCTGCAACATTGCACTGCAATATGCAACGTTGTAGCAATGTTGCTGTAAGCTTCTGTGCTGTAAGGGCATTGCTGAGATTCGAACCTGAGACGTCTCCCAGGTAGCAGATTTACGTCAAAATGACATCCAAATCTAAGTAAGTTCAGGATAAAAAATAACCAAGGAATGATCAAAAATATCGTAAGAATATCGTCAAAATGATAGTATAGTGTTGCAGACCAATGACGACATTTTAGACGACTTAATGACGTTTTATTACGTCTCTAAACGTCAATAATACATTTTTAAGACGTTATACAGAAACGTCATTAAGATATCACAAAAAAGACGTTTTAAAGACGTCGTTATTTAGTCACTTGACGTCATTCGACCAGTTTTTTACGTCATTTTGACGTGAGTCTGTTACTTGGGCTGATTTTTCTGTCGTTCACCTTACCTACTAAATCACTGTCACTTTGATTGAGAGACGCTTTATATTGTGTACATATGGTATATCCATATACGAAAGCATATTTAAAAGAAGAGAATAGATTCTTTTAAAATATATGTTTTAAAAAGTACGTAGAAAATATATTTAAAAAATATTTACATGTTTTAAAAGTAAGTAAAATAAATTATTTTGTAAATTTAAATAAATTGTTTTCTGATGATAAAAGAAACTTTAATTTGAAACATAAAAAAATACTTTCAATATTAGAAAATAATTTATTGAGATTTATAAAATGATTTACTTGTATTTTATTTACTTTTAAAACAAGCAAATATTTATTTAAACAGTTTTTACATTTAAAAACATTAATTTTCTCCTTGTAAAGAAATCATTTGTTTATTCTTATATATATATATTGGGAGTACAAATTAGTTCGGTCCGTTTTTTTGTGGTCAAAAATGCATTTATATCAGAACAAAATGAATGAACAGATTAATCAAAGTATTGTCCATCGCTGGCTATTATTTTTTCCCACCTCTCAGGCAATTTTCGAATTCTATCTCGAAAAAATGTTTCGTCTTTTGAGGCGATCCAAGTTAGGAGCCAATTTTCGATTTCTGCGAAAGAAGTGAACCGGTGACCTGTCAAATCGTGCATCCGTCGGAACAACCAGTAATCAGAAGGAGCAATGTCCGGCGAATACGGCGGGTGCAGTAAAATGTCCCACTTGAGCGTTTCCAAATAATTTTTTACGACTTTTGCGACATGAGGCCGAGCGTTATTATGCAGAAGAATAACTTCGTCATGTCTTTGCTCGTATTCCGGCCGTTTTTCTCGTAATGAACGGTTCAAACGAATCAACGAAGTATAACTCCCAATGATTCTGCAAGCTTCTCTTGCGTTTGACTCGGATCTTCATCGAGTAATGCTTCCAATTTTTTGTCTTCGAATTTCTTTGGCTATCCAGAGCGAGGCTTGTCTTCAACGCTGAAATCACCATTCTT